CCCCATATCTAATCAGATTATTTATTTCTTCTTCATTAAGTTTTGCTACTTTCAGTATTTTAAAGATGTTTCCCTTCTGCCTTTCTCTTAAGGGTTTGCATTATTTCAGATAAGCAAACTGCTACCATCCTAATCTTCGTTCCTTTTTGCTTAATGTCTCATCTTTTAAGGTTTCCTTTATCACTGGATTTAAACAATTTGATTATGATGAATCATTGTGTAGTTTTCTGCTTGCTTCTTGTATTTAGGGTTTGTCCAGCTTCTTGGATCTCTGAGTCTATATTTTTCATCAAGTTTGGAAATTCTCAGACTTTATATTTCCAAATAATTTTCCTATCCTCTCTTCTCCTTCAAGGACTATATGACCATTTAAACTCTTCCCATGGTTTAATGATTCTTCCCTCCTCTTTCCTTCCTTTCCATTATCCTCTTTTCTTTCTTTTCTTTTCTTCTGTGATGTCTTATCAGCTACAAACACATCTGGTGTACTTTTTTCTCATGAACTGTGGTTTTCATTTCTAGAAGTTTGATTTAGTGGTTTTTATATCTTCTGTGTTGCTAATTGACAACTACTTAATCCCTCCCCTAACTGCTTGAGCATATGAAACATACTGGAATGTCTTTCCCTAGCATTTCTTTGTCATTCCTGGACCAGGAATTTTCATTGATTTTTCTCCTCATTGTGGACTTCATTTTTTTACTTCTTTGCATGCCTGATGTGCTTTTTTATTGGATTCCAGACATGAATTTTTCCATATTAGGTGCTGAATATGTATATATTCTTTAAAATATTCTTGAGCATAGTGTTGAGATACAGTGAAATTACTTAGAAACAGTTTGATTCTTTTGGGTCTTAGTTTTAAGCTTTGTTAGGTGGTACCAAAGCAACATTTATTCTACTTTAATCTTTCCCCAATAATAAATTTAGATACTTCTTGATAATCCAATTTATGTCCTGTGAATTATGAAATTTTCCTCCCTTGCTTTCCTCCCTTTTGTGAGCTACAGGCACTACTCTTGCTAACCTTTGTGGGTGGCTCTTTCTTCAGCTTTGGATAGTCGATCAGTACTCAGTTCAATTGTAGGAAGGATCTTCTGCAAATATCTTTAGTTCTCTCTATGTAGCTCACTCCTCTCCAGTGCTCTGGACTGTGATCATTAGATACCTTGGTTTCACTACACTCTCAGCTATGTCTTCTCAACTCTGGGAGATTGTTGGGCTCTGACTAGCTTCCACTTCTGTAGATCATAGTATAGAAATTTTCTTGAGGCAGAAAACTGGGGAAATTATACAGATTATCTCATTTTCCCCCTCATCTCTTATAGATCAGTATCCTTTGTTGCCTGATACCCACTGTCTTAGGATCTATTGTTTCATACATTTTCTCTTGTTTTTAGGCATTTTCAGTGTTAAAATAAATCTAGCCTCTGTTACTTCCTCTTGGCCAAAAGCAGCAGTGTCTAAATAGGTCTGCTGTATTTAATATATAGAAAGATGGCAACATAAATTTCTGAGGAGGTTTGGCGTATTCATGAATAATAGTGGCTCTTTTGTTTTTAATAGCATTGGGGAAAACAGTATAAATTCTCATATCCTGTTTTAGAGCCCTTTTAATCCCAAAGAATTTTATATAAAACAAGAACTAAAAAATATAGCCCCTTTGGCTCCCAGCCCTCCCCCTCAACTACCACCATCATACTTTTCAGTATTCAATCCTGGGGAGTGTGAAGTTAACCCTTTGCACTCGCTTGCTTTTTTCTCATTATCCACTCGACATTATCCACACTTGACATCCAAGTGCAAAGGGTTAAATGATCATTGTGTGAATGGTTATAACCTTTTCATACTTAATTTTAAAAAGTAGAAAACCTAAAATAGTAATAATTTAGACCTACTAAATTTTACTCTGGGATGCTATTTTTTTAAAAAATAAAATTTTATATAATTTTTCTATCTATCTATATATATTTTATCTAAAATTTAGAAGTAACAGTTATTTAATAATGAGGAAATGATGTATCCATGTATATGTAGCCATTGAAAGAATGTTTATGAAAACTTTATCCAAAAGGAAAGATTCATGTTACACTATCAATGGAAATAAAGTCAATTTATGTAGACCTTATATTTCATCAGTTATTAACATATTCAATTTATAACTATCTTATTCTCTCAATTATAAAAGTACACTAAAACTTGTTATAAATAAAAAAGCAGTATGTTAAATGCCAACTTAGTGTCATGAACTATATTATACACATCAGGGGAGTGAATAAAGCAGCTACTATCTACTGATGGAATAGGAAGATGTCTTTTACAAAGAATTGTAAAGTGTCCATCAGATCAAATAAATATACTAACAGTGGGGTTTGGAGATTGAATTTATAGTTTATTTATGATTAAGTAAGAATGGCTGATCTGATATTTATTTACATTTATATTTATGCATTTTGTGGGCAAGCAAAAGTTCTTCTGGTATTTTAGAGTCATAGTGTAGTCATGTTGTTCTATACTCTCCATATTTGACCAAATGAACTTAGTATAACTATGCTAAGGTTTTCTTTCCTTTTGTTTATATACCTCCAAAGAGTTTATGCTATATTGTTCTTAATTTGAAAATTATAATATTATTTAATTTTATGAATTTATAAATCATATAGATTAGACTACTTTTTTATATATTACAGTCTTCTATTGTTGAAAATGTCTACCTGTTAGTGATGAAATTTGGGAAGTGAAAAGGTATACTGAAATTGATCTGCTGATTAATAAACTTCATAGTATTTGGTTACATAGTATTTGGTTATTTGTCCAGAGAAGTTGAATCTTACATTTGAATGCATTAATGTTACTTTTCTGCCAGTTGTTTTTGACTTTCCCTTATTGCTTCAGGATATGATCAGTACTTAGCCACATATATTAGGTCTGGTTAAAATGACTTTGGGAATGATACAGAATATATCATATTCTTTGTTGCATTGTATTTTCTTGCATATATGTAGTCTAATGGCATAATCTTCAAAGAAATTGGGAGTTTTGAAAGACAAGAGAAGACAAATTGTTTCTTTTGGTTTAATGGTATAACGTGGATGACAAACATTCTCCTCTTTAAAGATTGCAGAAGAACTAGTTTTCTCAGGCAACAGCGAGGTTTCATTAAGAGCAACCATGTAGAGGGAAACTTCAGGAAAAATACCAAGTACATGTGGATGATAATTTACTGTGAATGCCAGATGACACAGTGAAATGTTTTCAGACAGTGGGAGGGGGGAGAGATGTGGTTACAGAATGCAAGACATTAGGATTAGTATCTGAATTATGAAAGTCACCTGGAGACCCTGGATTTCTCAAGTTGACTGACACTCAGGAATAAGGGACATGATAGAATTATCATAACAGTCTCTCATCAGGAAGTGGTGTTCAGTCTGAATCTTAGAGTGGAACTGCGAATATATTTACAGAATCATGTAGAGCTCTCGGTCTCTCTTATCTTCTACCAACCGAGACCTCTGGCAGTAGTGGAAAGGGAATAGGTTTTCCGCAGAGTTCAATTACTCTTTTGTCATCTGAAAAGGGAAGCACACAGAATCAGGCTCTTACGTAAAACACATGAGTTTCCTTTGATTTCTATGGAAGCAGTTCTCTGGATTATCAAAGAAGCACATTATTAAACAGTTTTATTTAATGTAGTTGAATTTATCCTGAAAAGCGAGAAAATGCAAGTTATTGAAAGAATAGCACAATATTTTAATTCTAAGAAATTCTTTGAGTTACCTTGAAATGCGCCTTTAGCACTAGTTCTTCTAAAAGATAAATTAGAAGTGAAAGGCTATCTTAATTCAAGAATGTTTAGTTGTCAGAACAACAAAGAAGTTAATGCTACCAGCTTCATCAGTAAGACTAACTTTTGCATGGATCCCAGATATAGATTATAATACAATGCCCATGAATATATATAGAATCTTAACTTCCTTCTGAGACCTCAATGTGAATTGTCTCTGAGTCTCTGAGGTGATATTCTAGAAATCTTTCGTTTTGTTACATGAAGACATTAGATAAATAAAATTGCAATGTCTCAATTGGACAATCACTTTACAGAGCATACAGTCCTTTAACAAAGCTGGTGGTTTCAATGTGCAGCCCTCACAGTGGAATAAACCACAAAACAGGTATTAAGAGAATGTTTTTGATGAGCAAATAATGCACATAGAGATGAGAGCACAAGATTTGGATCCATGCTATAGCTAACACAATGACAGTAGCTAATTATTTTCTGAACTCAGTATGCATCAGATACTGTGCAAGTGTCTTCCTACCTCACCTAGTCTTGGTACAGGTACTGTGACAAGGGCTTTTCTACCTCACCTAAGTGATAAGTGATGTTACCACATGTTGTTAGCCACTACTCTTAGTATATCACCTTTCTTTGTGATTTTGTAATAATCATGAAAACTCTTTGGGCCTCAGTTGAATAAAAAGTATATAAGTGTTTATACATGTAAGTGAATTTATAAAAGTGATTTTATCCTCAAAGACAATCAAAAGACTTCTGTTTATCTACCATTGCTGTTAGTGAGAACCTCAAATTTGACCACACTTCTTACCAACCAGCTCAGGAAAAAGTATTGATCTGTTTTCTCCTTCAATTTGCAGATAAATATAATTAATGATGGATGTGTAATAGGAAAAAGACAAAATTAAGGAACTTTGAGGAATTTCAGTTGAGAAGTTGTTCTTATCTGCTTGTGCCACTCATAATATTAAGAATAAAGTTATGTTTATTCTTACCATTGTCCTTTGGGGGCATTTTAGAATATTGTTTGTAAATATTTTAAAAAATTTAAAAAGGCTTTGTAATTAAAAATGCACTAGTACAAAAGAGGTTGATTAATAGTCCTTCATTTATGTTTTTCCCTATTATGTATTTATTTATTTTAAATTTTTTCCAATCCTCAAGTGGAATTAGACATTTATGTTTTAATATTTGCCATTTTTATAGGATATAAAGTGTGATTGAACTGAAAATTTATTGGGCTGATCCTCATCATGAACCGTGCTTTTAGCAGGAAGAAAGGTAAGTGTGCTCATTTTAAAGGACTTGGAAGCCAAACCAATATTGTTACGAAGATAAAGCAGAGATGTTAAGAAATCAGCTTTTTCCAATTTATCAAATCACATGGCTTAAGAATAAAGTTATATTAGAGCAACACAAATCTGCAAAACATTGCTAATTCACTTTCTTTAGTTACCATCCTAACAAAAGAATGGAGTTGTTTAATATTCTGTGTTCACAATACATATGTGGTATTCTCTGGCAATGTTATGCTATGTTGTGAAATTGAAAAAAACAAAATGATCTGAAATTTAGTGCTAACTTTACGTTATGTAGCCATATAATACTTAATTCCCTGGGTTTCCATATGGTTACAATGATGTAAATTGGTTCATGAGTATGTGTGTATGTGTGCACATACGCTTCATGTATTATTGAATATTGTGTGAGGATTGGTAATGGGTGAATTGATAGCAGTGAGACCAAAATAAATTTATTATTAATTTTCAGATTGGAAATTAAAATGAATGAATATAAATGCAGTATATTATAATTATCAGCATATAGGACTGAAAGAGACAGCTAGTTAGATGTTATTTTCTAATGGCTAGGAAAACATAGCATTTGGCAAACTATTTCATGATATACTCACAAAGAAAGATAGAAAAAATTTGAAAAATTTGTCTAGTTCAGTGAAATTCAAATAATATATTCTGTCATTCTGGAGGAAGTTCTCTAGTGGAGGGCCTGGGCTCTCTCCTGTTTAACATGTTATCAATGAATTCTGAGAGAATACTTAATGCTAATCAAATAGATGATTGAAAGCAGAAAGATGAATGATATGATAGGATTACAGACAAATGAGGAAAATGGCCAATTGGGTCATTCCATACTATGAACTTAATAAGATATTGCCAATTGCCAAACACGGGTCCAGAAAAATCTAATACTTTTTACCATTATTTGTATATTATTGTTGTTTGGAAGCTACACCTTAAATGTTATGTGGGTAAAAAAATGGCTAAGGAATAAAATAAATAGTGCGATTATCAAAGGCTCTCCAGTTCATTTTATAATGTATAGATATAAACAGTCCAGAACCACAGACTAGAGTGTTCTGTTCTATGCCATGCAGCCAGGTACAGTGTGTTGTCTCTTTAAAGTGTTAAAGGGTTAAGTGACACATTGTGACATGCCCAGATGGGAAAGGCTGGGATGACTTCAGGACTTTCAACTCTGTGACAGGAAGCATGGCTGAGAACCCTTGGTATGGTAATGAGAGCTGTCTTTCAGTATTTGAAGGGCTGCCATTTAGCCATGGGAGTGAGTTTAATAAAGGACAAATAGGTGTAAATTATAAGGTCATTGATTTAATGTAGGAAAAAAAATCTAGCAAAGTCATGTAAAACTTTAATGGAATTACTCAGATTACTACCTTTTCTGTCACTGAAGTAGGTGGTGTTCAAACACTTGGATGCGGTACAGAAGATTAATGTATTCAGTAGGGATTTAGATAATGTGACCTTTAAGGCACTTTTCAACCCTGAGAAGCTGGAAACTTATTGTTTTACTTATTTTTCTGAATAAAAGGAAAGCAAAATGACAATTGCAGTCTATAGCTTTCTTCCAACTCAAAACACATACCAAAAGTAAAATACTATTTTTGGATTACTTTTTCTAGTAACAGAGTCTAGAAATAATTTCATGATATATTGAAGTATTTTAATAAAGGAATAGAAACCTGACATCACAACTTGTGATTTAATAGCACTTATTTTTTTTAAAAAATACTTCTACACCTTCTCTTTTTTTGAATATATTTAAAATTCTGTTTCCCATAGCTTGAAAGTTGGAACTTCACATTTCTAATTTATTATTTATTTGAAAGGGATAAAAGTGGCTTTTCATTGAGAAATCCCAAGGGTTGGCTAGTAATATGAGTAACCAGCAATTGTACATTTGTCTTCTTTGAGCACAGTGGGTGTACACCCTGGGGAAAATTGGAATGATTTGAAGAATCAAAAAACAGAAGCACTTGTTATTTCCTGCTTTGCTTCATTTTCTTTAAATTTCTTTTGACTTCTCTTATTTCTCAAGTCTAATGATTAAATATCATTATCAGGAAATTATTGATAAATATTTTGCTCTAACTCCAAGTTAGAACTTGATACTGGAAGCTTTCCTTAAGTTTGCCAATCAATTCTGACTCTCTCATTTAGTGAGGTTCTTAAAGAAAATAATTCTCAGAGCCTCCAATCCTGGTTTCAACCAATAGCATTATTTGACTGAACTTAAATTTGAGATGGAAAACTTGAATTTTACAAGAGAATTTATATATTCTGACAATCTGGAGCTATAATTATATCACTCAAAAATATATAATTCAAGTCATATTTCCCAAAACCAGCATCAACATATAGTGTGTACAGTATTCTCTACAAAGCAAGATTGTCTCCTATCAATAAAAGCTTATCTCTTTATTTCATAGATATCCAATTTACTTGGTCATCACATGCAAACTTACTAAATGATCCTGAGCCTCAGAAGCCTCAGGGAAGAAGATCATCATCTTAAACCTAAGCATAATTGTTTTTTCTCTTTATTAAATCTCCAAGTTAGTAATTTGACACTCTTCAGTTGAATTAGCCAGGTATTTCACTGATTTTCTTTAAAATATTCTAACGGTATTAGAGATAGTCAGAGATTCTGAAAAGGACTGAATATATTAGAATTGCATCATTTTGAGCTATTTTGAAAAGTTCATTAAAAATTAGTCTAACATAATCATAGATTAAATTTTAATGATTGTATTTGTTTCAGATTCTTTCTGTAGGCTAGCTTTCTTTTAATTTTTAAAATTATACATTTAATTATTACATCAAAAATAAATAATTTAGTAAAAAAGCATAAAGCATAGCATGTGAATAAATGTGATTAAATAATTCAACTAATTACACTTTATTTTCTTTAACTTAGTTGACATACTGATGAGTAGATATAACATAATGCACAGCACTTAAAATTCAATATTTAAATATTATTTTCTTTTTAAATGAAAATTTTATTCAAATGCATCTGTTTGTTCATTCAGCAGCATTTAGTTTTAAATTTACTCAAAGTAGGTGCTTTCACCATGCTAAGCTCTGATGATACAAAAATAAAGTTACTGCATCTTTCTTGATGAGTTCTTAATCTAAATGCAGTTTGAACACCTAAATTTGTTGAACACCTAAATTTGTTGACCCAGCAGTCAGAGTGGTTTGATATTTGTCCAATATTTTGAAATGTTGACATTTCCTTTGATGTGAGTGTTCCATATTGAGTTAGTGATTTTAGTTTAATTTCCAAGAAGAAAACACTTTCTTCATGTTCCCATTTCTATACTATTTCCATATAGCTAATTCTTCTGTGGACACATATAGTGACCATCATGTATATTCCATGGACCATCATGTATATTCCCTCCTCAAGGTTCAGTCATAGCTATATGAGTTAATATAAAGAGTTTTATTCTGTTAATATTTTTCTTTTTCTAAAGTATAAATGAGGATGACAGTAAGGACTCATTTTTTTAAATTCTTTAGGTTTTTTATTAATAAATGCACTGCCTATAGTAGAGGTTATGTGTGATGAACAACCACTAAATCATCAGCACCTGATGTGTGAATGGCAATCCTTGTAGGAACTGCAGCTTCTCCACTGAAATTTAATATTGTGATTATTTTAGTCTATCACCAGAAACAGCTGGGTATACCTGTCGTTTCTAGGTCACTGCAATATGAGACTATAACAGAGACAATATAACCAGTTTTCAAATAATTGTGTTTTATGGGAAAAAGCAATTATTTCTCTGTCTCAGGATTGGTATGAACCATCATATTGAGACTTTAGTCAGACTTTACATCATCCTGAGAAGTGTTGCATGTTTTAGAAAGGAGACATGAGAATTGAGTGAAGGGGTAAAAAGAGAAATTGGATATTGTTTTAGGTTTCCTAAAGGCAAGTGTTTGGTTTCTTATTGCTTTGGTGTTTTATTGTTTTGGTGTACAGTGTTGTGACTTACTTCTTTTAATATACAGGGCAAGACCATATACCAAGTCTAAGCACAAATTGTTCTTGAATTAATCATATTACTATCCATTAACAATCATAATAAGTATAATTAAGATGAAAACACATACAAAAATAATTTCACACACTAAATTTCAATGTCAATATTGCTTTTTGAAGCTTAGAATACATGGCTTCTTAAAATATTTCACCCAAATAAAGCTATCACATATCTGCTCCAATATTCAGAAGTACTCCCAATGCTATTGATTCTTCATTTTTTTGGATTATAGATTCTTGCAAATACTGCATTGCAGCCTATCAACATGTTTAAAATATATATATAGTGCATTATCTTTCAAATGGTATAAAATAATTGACATTCCAGGAATATATGCCATTTTCTCTATGTCATCACATTCCATAAGTTTGAGAAGAATATATTCATGATATCAAATTAGATTCTGTTAACACCATTTGAAAATATTTTGAATTGAATTTTGAAAATACTTTGTTGTTAATCTAATATTTTCTATCAGTGTGTACTTATTTAATATTTTTACTGGTAAATTATATCTTTGATTTTATTTTGATTATAATATTGATTCTAATTTTTTAAACTCCCATGAAAAATAAAATACACAGGAAACACCACTAATGGAGACAAAACATATTTGAACACTGAGAAGTCTTACTCCAAACAAATGTAATTTCAAAATAAAGTCAGTTTGCTTTGTGTAAAATTTTTTCTCCCCTTTATACATTCCATGAGGTATTTTGGAAAATATATTGAATATATTAATAAAGTTCACAAATTTAATGAAAATATAAACAATACAAATATAAATAATCTATAATACAATTAGTTTAAATATCATCTTTTGAGTTTAGAATAGTTAAATCTTGATACCAAAATATAATAATAACAATGAATTAAAGAGCAGGTTAGTGTTTTTTATCGTCCTGGGAATTAAGTAAAATCACCTGCAATTCATGAGAGCATAAAGTAAAAGAAGAAAGATAATTTGTTTTTAATCATATAATTGATATAATTATTCATAGCCCACTGACATTGTTATTTTTATATAGCTTTTAAAAAAGTATGATTTCTATTATTTGAAAACTTTCAAGAAAAGCTAGAGACTTTTATACCAAGGAAAGACTCCCAGCATCAATCTCCAACTACATTGTTCTTATATTTGGTTATTCTTTCCCAATTTAGCAAGGGAATCTCAGAATTAAAAATACTCTCATCCATCTCAGACTACCCACAAATGCTAATGCATGAATATAACATCATAGAAATCTGTAATTTAGTTTAACACTGTGTATTCTTTGTTGCAGACAAAACATGGATGCATACACCTGAAGCTTTATCAAAACATTTCATTCCTTATAATGCAAAGGTAAAAATAGTTAATATATTATTTAATTTTATTTTGTTGTAGTTCATGTTTAATATTACAAAGATTGCTTATGCATTGACATTTCCTGGTAATTGATTTCTGAAAAAAAAATCACATAAATAAAATAATTATGTAGTGTATAGTATGGGAAGTGTATCCTTAAGTCATGCATGTATTTTCTTCAAGTGCTTTTGACTATTATTAAAATTATTTACAATATGAAAGTATGTAGAAAATCAACTAACAAATTAGGTTCCTTTAAAAACATGTTAATGTTTCATTACTCAGACTAAATATCAAAGTTAACCTCGAAATGAGAAAAATAAGCTGTAGTTTTAATGAATGTAATTATCATCCAAGAAAAAATTTAAAAAGCTTATTAAACTATTATGAAAACATAGAAAAATGCATTTTTGGTGATTCTTTAAGTTGAACACAAAACTACTTAAAGTTTTTGTTTTTGTTTAAGATATTCTGTATCTCTTGTTATACTTTAGAAAAGAAGTATAAACAATATATACTCCATGTCTTTAAAGATTTGATTTGTTCTTGTTGGAAAAGTAGACAAATGAAGGAATACAATTTATAAAATGGACATTAAAGAAAGGTGCTATTTTGTAGTTAATGAGCACCAAACTCAAAATAGTTTTTGGAGAAATCTGAGTCAAAACTTGGAAGAGATAGAGTGAATTAAAGAGTTGGGATTGGGGGCTAGGTGCGGTGGCTCATGCCTGTAGTTCTAGCACTCTGGGAGGTCCAGGTGAGTGAATTGTTTGAGCTCAGGAGTTTGAGACCAGCCTGAGCAAGAGCAAGACCCCCATCTCTATTAAAAATAGAAAGAAATTAGCTGGACAACTGAAAAAATATATAGAAAAAATTAGCTGGGCATGGTGGCGCATGCCTGTGGTCCCAACTACTCAGGAGGCTGAGGTAGAGGGATTGCTTGAGCCCAGGAGTTTGAGGTTGCTGTGAGCTAGGCTGATGCTAAGACACTGTAGCTCGGGCAATAGAGTGAGACTCTATCTCAAAAAACAAAAAGAGATGGGATTGGGAATTCGTCACATTTAAGCAACTGAACTTTGGAGACAGCATAGGGGAGAACAGAAAATTATATTTTTATAAGAGAACTTAAGAGTTTATGAATTAATAAACTATATTCTGGTATATAATGAAATTAGGTATAGGAATTGTTTCAGGAAAAATAAAAAAATATTTATTGAAAACAAAGTTAATGATATTTAATGGGGAACCACTAGAGTGCAGGTCTAGAGTGCTAAATTGGCAGAAAAAAAACATTTAAAAGGCCATCTAGAAAAAGTTCTTCCAGAACTGTTGCTCAGCAGTGAGATTTATTGAGTGCAGCAACTATATTTTTCTTGCTGACTTCATAGCAAAGAAGATGCTCTAAAATATGTTCTATGTAAAATATACTTGAAACCTTCTAATATACTTGACATCATTGTAGTGCTTATGAATTTCCTTATAAAGTTAACATGAAGATTGATTACCATGATTTAGTATTAAGAGTTTAGTTAACTGAATGAGAAAAAAAATTAATATTATCCATCATTTCCTCAGATATTCTTCATATTAACTTTTGATAAACTATATGAAATTGATATAGAAAAATTTAATCTAGAAAGCTATTATTTTTAGGTGCTTGCTCAGTTTTTGATAATATTATCAATTGTGGTAGAATTATATACTTTAATTGAAATCACCAAGGTCATTTATTTTTATGTGATTGGAATGCCTCATTTTTAAAACTGGTTTATAAAGGATTGAAAGATTACATTATAATTAGGACTACCTTTAACCCTGCCGATTAATCTACTTGTCAGCATGGAAAAGTTGCCTGTGCTAATTCACAGGTGGATAACAACTGTAAGACATCCTACACAAAGTAGAAGGCACATGAACACCTTCCCAGACTGACGACCATAAAATATGGAAGAGCAAGTTGTTTTTTCTGTTCTAATATGGCCCCATGAGTGGTAATGTATGTTGTATGCATACCAAATATCATTAAAACAATTTGAAAAACATTTTTTTATGACTTTCCTTGTTTATGGCACTTTTAGGTTAATGTTTTAGTAGAATTATTTTTGAAGATGTTTTCTATTTCTTGTTTACAGTATATGCTACTTGAAAACCAAATCTGTGCCCACAAGAAGTAGCTATGCCCAACAGGAAAAAATACAGACTCTCGAACTGGATAGCCGTGGCTTATATCTTGACTCCAACACTTATTAGCTGTACATCTTTGGGCAAATTACTTACCTTTCTATGTCTATTCACCTATAAATAGGGATGATAATAATATGATTTCTCACAATAGTTGTAGACATAAAGGAGTTAAAAGTGTTGGAACAGTGTCTAATATAAAATAACTACTCAATAAATGTTAGCAATCATTAATTAATTTTTTTATTTTTCATAGGACTTACCAAAGTGCCTGCCTCATAGTAGGTGTTCAGTGTATATATTTGATAACTAATGCATAATAACATTTCTCATATAATTCTAAAATAGTTATATTTCATTGAGCCCCAACATGTGCAAGTACTGTGCTGGTGCACTTTAACATTATCCCATTTAGCATTTGCCATGACCCAGTGCAGTGTCAATGTAATCACCACTTTACATTTGAGAAAACAGTGCAGAAAGATTAAGTAATTTGCATGTTATCACAAGACTAGTAAGGCTAAGCCAGACAAAAACAAAAACAAAAACAAAAAACAAGTCTGACTTCAAATATTTGCTTCTTTTTATGTATGTAATAGTTCATCATTATTCATGTATTCATTAAATGGCTGTTCCATAGCTGAAGGGTCACTGAATATTGGTGGTGCTTCAGAACTATATGGAACATGACTTATATTCTTAGAGACTTTATTGTCATAAAGAAAATTAAAAAAAATAGTTACCATACAAAAGTAACTAAATAAAAGGCGCATCATGTTCTGTGCCATTCAAATGACACAGAAAGGTGAAGAGATTCAGAGAGTCACTCCTGTTTTATGAAAGTAGAGATGAGGTGGGATTTCCAAGAGTCAAAACAGGGTGGAGGGACCATTTCAAGCTGAGAGGTCTGGAGGAGCATGAGCACAGTCAGTAAGTTATAAGACACAAACTGAATATGGCAAGTGCTGGGCTGGAGCATAAAGTACTAGTCATGGTGAAGTCCTTTATCAATCAGGGATGCATCTGAGCAGCAGAACTAGAAGGATATGCACACATACCCATACATACATCTTCAATGATCTATTGCATGGTATTGGAGTATACAATTATGGGGGGCTGGCTAGGCATGTCAGAAATTCATACGGCAGACCATCAGAAAGGGCAAAGTGGAAACTCTTAGGCAGGAGCGGACCCTGCAGTCCACAGGGGGAATTTCTTTTTCATTAGGCAAAAACTTGTTCTGTCTCAATTATGCTCCGAAGGCCAAGTTATCCAGGATAATCTTACATAAAGTCAACTGATAACAGATGTTAATCATATCTACAAAATTACTTCACAGCAACACTTAGATGAGAATTTCATTGACTAACTGGGTACTAAAACTTAGCCATGTTATCAGTACTTATTATAAGTACTAGTAAGTACTAATGATGGACAAGGTAGAAAAGACTTTGGGAAGACTTTGAATGGTAGAATAAGCAGTTTGGGTTGTGAAATAATCAAACAGAATTTTAGGAAGATAAATCTGTAGTAATATAAAAGTTGATTTGGACCAGAAGATATGGGACTGACATTAAACCTTTAGGAAGTTATTTTAATGGTCCAAGTAAAGGGTTTTAAGTTTATCATAGTATAGTAGATGAATATGTAGTAGAAAATAAGGACATGGTAAGTATTACAGAGGAAGAATTGAGTTAACATAGAAATGGTTTGTATGTATCTATTTTCATCCAGACTGAAAGGAAGAATCATCATACTATTAAAAGAGTCCCATCGTTTCTCTCACTTTTGGCATCCCTTGGTTACAAATTATGCTGGTAAATTTAACAGAACTGTTTAAGAATTATAATTCTCCCCAGGGGAAAATGTAATTGCATTTATGCAGAGGTGTCTTCAGTTTTAAAGTAACAATAACCTGCTTTAATATTATAATTCCTTTAGCTTCTTTTTAGAACCCATTTTAGTTCTACATTCTTTCCTTTTATAGAACATCGATTGCAAAAATTCACATTTGATATTTACAGTGCAACTTTCAGATCATATGTAGATGTAAAACAAAATATGGTTTTAAATAAGTATTATTCTACATAGGGTTCATTAGTTTTAGGGTTTTATAATGTGCAGCAATGGCATTGATACAGGTTCATAGGGAATCCTTCATGTTATCCTGTATAACCTGTAGTGATGTTGTCAAATTGGAGGTTATGACCTATGAAAAAATTGAGTCATGAAATCAAAGTCTTAGGACATGGAGGCATGTATTTAAAAATGGGTAGCAAGGGCAAGACAGTGATTGTCACTTGAAGCAGAGTAGGAGCTGGAGGAGAAAAGTACTGAGAATATGGATATATTTTGAAAAAGAAAGCTGACAGGATCAGTAGACTGTGTATTAGTTTTCCTATTGCTGCTATAGTGAGAATAGTAAAGCAGAAATTAAAAAAATATTTTTTCATTACCCTAAGGAAGGCTGTAGTATTTCCCATTTCCTTCAACTTTTGATGAGAATGCTAAACTGTCTTTCTCTAAAGATGAAATACTGGCAAACTTTTATTTAAATCAAGTTATTATTATTCTCTTGGTCTGAGACAGTCATTTTTAGCTGAAGAATTGTGACAAATGTTTCGTAAAAAGACTTATTTATTAAATGTTTTACTTTAAAATGAATAACCAACCCCTAAAAGGCTGTCTTTATTCTTTTATGAAAGACTTAGCTTTAAGATATACAAAATAATGTATAAGAATGTGTAAGAATGCAATCCTAATGAGATTACTACCTTAAGTTGCACCATGCAACAGTAAAGAAAGTCAGCATTCTT